ATTTTGACGCATATAAATAAACAAATTTGTTTACTGTCAGTATAGTTTCCTTGTTTGGTGATTCATTTGATGATACAAACCTATGTTCATTTTTATAATACATATAAGTAGTTATATGAGACTATACTATCTGTTGAGTTGCAATTAGATGTTAGTGTTAGTTTTTGCGTGCAGGTGTGAGGTAGAGTAGACATAATTACAAATTCATAACAAATCGAGATATATATGCACATATCCATCCACACCGATGCTCACCAAAATCCACATAACCACACGTACGTTACTCACTCTCAAACTCCACACCTAAATTCACACATCCATATCCACATCGAGAATGTATCTTGAGGACTACTCCTATATGGTATTAGACAACACGGTGCATTATTCCTATCTTATTTAAGGGATCAGTCGTATTTTTTTAATCGTCTTCTACAAACATAAATATTCTATCACTTATAGTGCAGATGGATCATTGATTACTCTTAATTAGATCGTCAGTCTGCCCAGATAGTCAGAAACTGCCAAAGATGAGTATAAATACAAAGAAAAATTCGGCGTTTTTGGATGTCAAGATCAGCTACCAAAGGTCAGCAAAAACTGGTCTAAAAAAAGAAAGGCGTAAAAACAATCAATTTTTGAACATTCAACTTTTTTCACTACATGTTCACTGGCCCCAGAGCAAAAAGAGATTCTAAATACACGTATAACCACTTAAGAAATTGATTTTTTGAGCGTTTCAACGTTTGTACAGAATAGTGGGCGTGAAAGATATCGTACGAATCGGATTCTCTGTGTGTAAACGAATACAAATAATAGAAACACAAAATATGTATCTATGCACACTTGAAGTTTACAGTTTTTAACCATTTCCACGATCACTTTTCTAGAAACGCTTTGAAACGCTTAAAATATTAAGTCTTTGGACATTTATACATGTTTGCTGCAAGTCTTGTATGTCTCAGTCTTAATCACTCTTCAATCATGTTTCTATGAAGACAGTTTTCATTTCGAAAAAGAATCACGACTTTGTACGGAAAAAAGAAGAAAATTTTTGACATCTATATAGGGGATTATTACTATTTTGGTTGTTCTAGTCGACACATCTTCGACAACCGATGCTATACATGGTCGCTTATACACTGCAAGATATGAAAGGAAACTCGTATCAGATATGCTTATTGTAGAAGAAATTTTCTCGACTGAGGGAATATCTAATATCAGCATTTCTCTGGCACACTTTCGAAACAGGAATTCATCCTCTAAAATCTTATTATTTATTGAGTATAAATTTAATATTAATTTTTGGCACTTTTAGAATGTTCGCACTATTCGATATGAAGAAACAAGTCAAAGACATTTTTTATATATTCACACTGTGTATGTCGATGAATTTATGTAGAATGTATTCGACAACAAAACAGTTTTACAACTCGCTAAATATTGACTCGATACAGAAAAATACACACTTGGTTATGAACAAGGTATTATAATCAAATCAAACATGGATATGCGTGTGACTGAATCATAGATCCATACTTACATCCAAATTTTTGATTGATTTGTCACTTTCAATGTTTATAGTATTTTCTTACATTGCATTGTGTCTGTGGTGTATTTTCTGTCTCTATCTCACTCACTTCCGCGCGCTCGAGATAAAAGATACAAGAATAGCAATAACTACGGTGCCAAACATGATAGTTGCGTGAGACCGACATACCGAAGTATCAGTGAAGTAGATCGCATTATGCCAGCTGAATTTCTATTCTGAATCAAATTAGCAGAATCTCACAAATGCTATGAATGTGTGCAGCATTTCATGCCTTCTATTTAAAAGCTAGCCAACATCACTGATGAGACATTTCAAGAACAGTCATACCATAACTGTACTGCTCACTTATTTCACATTGATCTTAGTGTATATGGGGAAATTTCGCATGAAGAATACATTTGAATATAATCTATACTGTTGTGGGTCAATGTAAGATAGACATAATTCGATCAATATTTTCACATTATACGAACATGCTCTATTCAGTCTTTGGCTTCAAAGTCTCATGTTTTTTTACGAGTTTATTATCATTTTCATGCAAAGAAAATGTTATAAGAGCACCACGATTGTCAATAGATAAAAGCATGTAGAAAGAACAAATTTAGTTGCTAATGATGTTGAGTTGATAGTAGCGAATTGCTGGATGAGGTCAAGCGTACTTTGATCGCTATTGTACACCGAATACCAACCTTGTGGCTCATGAGGTGGATCTCCTATGAAATCATCGCCTTGACTCCAGTTGGCGCCTGGCATGCGTGGTCGTCCTTCGCCTCCGTAGGCCCAAAAGTTGACAGGCACACGATAATTACGAGTATGTTGAAGAATAGCTCGATAATATTGGTCGCGTATTGTCACAGGCGCTGCTGGTGTGTGATCATCATTGTCCCTTTGATAAAGATTTTCATTGAATCATTCTTAAAGGTTTGTTCTGAAATTCTCTACTGAATTAAACCGAGCAAATATTTCAGAGTGTTTCTTTATTATGTACAATGCTTTTCGAACCTATTCAGCGGTTTTTGGAGTTCTAACGAATTCTTAAGGTTTTGTCAAGATATTTTCCAGATTTTCATATTACAAAACTTAAATTCGCCAAGCTTTGTTGTCAAAGCACTGAAACACTTTTTCGAGTACAATAGTACAATCTATTCGACCGCTTCATTACAATGAATTCATCTATTTCTATTGAGAACAACTTTGTTTCAAATGATCTTAGATATGAACGACTTGGGATCTTTGAAGTCAGCTCGTCAAGTATTCATTTAATATTGATTCCCAAAGTATACTAGGTTTTTCTTCGAGACAATTACAAAAAACCATGATACTCGCTAGCTTTTTTGTTTCTAGAAATTTAGTTATGTTTACCTTGCAATGCCAAATTCTTCTAATACCACCGGCTTATCCTTATAAGCAGCGTGAAATTCAATATACTTTTCGGCAAAATCAATGGCAACAGGTAATGTCACAGAAGCGTTGTGTGGGTCGAACACATTCCAGTTTTGCACCCATAAATGAAAGGTGGCATAGTCAATGCAGGGACTTGCGTGATCATTAGTGAAATTATTCGATGAAATCTTGCCCTCGACGCCTGTGGTTACCAATTGAAAAGGAGCAAGTTTTTTTATTAAGCAAGCTGTTCGATGCACCCATGAAAGGTTCAGACGACGAGGCTCGTTGGCGAGTTCCCAAGACATCTTCGAAAGATCACAACCAAATTATTATTCAAAATATTGATATATATTTAGTATTGCTATCACAAATACAGATGGCATATTTGCTGTAATTTATGATTAAGTCAACGCAGTGAAGTATAAATATGGCATTTCGACCATTACTTTTATGCGTTAAATTTAGCATTTACTAATGACTAGCAAATAAGTAAAAACTGTATTGCTTATTTCATCGTAAACAAACAATTTAAAGCTTTCAGTTCGTTGGCTTCAAAGAAACATATCTTTTATCATACAATGTGTCTTATATTTACTACCTAATTGCGAAAGAAATTTCAGATATAGTAAACTTTTTCATACTGTGTACATAAGGGTATATGTTGAAGTGTTCTGGAGCGTAAAGAAGGGAGGCATATGGACCAAATCTCTATCATGTTCAATAGAGGTTTTTAATACTTACATTTACATTATGAGTTGCATATTTACTTTACTTTGTGGTTGACTAAATGCAATACAATAAATGAAATATTTATTTATTTATTCGTAAATGTTAAATACTGTTTTTTACCATATGCTAATAACTACTAAAAGCACAGTATTTAATTATTTACTAGTAAATAGTAAGTATTATATTTATGTACTTATTGATTTATAGACTGAAGGTAAGGCGCGATATCTATTTAAAAATGCTTATCGAATGTGTTGAATGAGCCACAGTTGAAAATAAGATAAAGTATTGTAGGCTGGTAAAATGGAATCATGATAAGATATTTATATATATATATATGTATAAATAGCAGTTCTCAAAGCGCATACATATCATTTTTCAAACATAGAATAGTGTTGAACTTTGGCAAATAAAGGTGGTCTCAATAGTGGAATTCCTCAAAATGGCACGCGTAGGTAGAAGTGATGGAAGTGTTATAGTGAATAATTTTAGCAAATTATTCGTAGCATGAGATGTCATTGGCTTTCATATGAGAGATTTTTTTAGAAAGATTGCGAATGTACAGTGATTTTTCATTAAAGCCTTCTTTGTGGTCTAGACCAATAACATAATCACATTTCGAATGTAAAAAGCGTGATACCAAATGATCCTTTCTTCTTGGAGATTAAAGTTAATAAATTTATTTTTAAACTTAAAATAACAACCATAAGGAACGTTAATGGATGTTTCTTTAAGAGTATATTTTTTTAGTACAACAAAACTCGGCAAATAATGAGTCATTAAAATCATATTAAAAAGTATAGATGTAACAGTAGATGCAGAATAAACTAGACCTTTGGTATTTTTAACGTAGCTATGGATACATCAAAGAGACGATGAGCTGATTCTGGTATGGTCTAAAAGAAGACCCAAACCTACATGCATACACAAACCAACAACCATCCCTCACCCTCAATTTTAAGATTGTAAAAAGTTGGTGGTTGTGATTAACCCCCCCCCCCCCCCCC